AGTGTTGGTTCCAGAACTAAAGGCTATGGTAAAGACTGCATGAATGCTTCACCAGTTTTCAAGCCATTCTCTTGTCTTTCTTACCTGCAGGCGAAGCCGCTCACCCAAGAGGAGAAGGTAAGAGAGTTACTGCTTTTACATTCCATTGGAAAAAATAATTGTTTGTAAAATCAAATTGTCTAACACTCTCCCTCCCTCTAGCCCATCGCCACGCCGGGAGAGGCATCGCAGCAAAAGCCCAAGGCGACACCGGAGCAGGTCTAGGGAGAGACGCCACAGATCAAGATCTAAATCTCCAGGTAGTTCAGTGATTTGCTGCTGTCTCTCTTAGTAATGCCCTAAGAATCTAACTCCTGATACCAGGGAGAGTGGATGGATAAGTTGAGTTTTGGCTAAAATTGTATGAATTTATGCTCTGAGAACAGCTCTTACACTGGCTTAGCTTCTTCTTCAAATATTTCTATCACTAGATAGCCACAAAGAAATTCTGACATTAAATGCCTAACAGGAATGAGTTAATCTTTTAACAGTACCGGAGGGTTAGTGCTAAAGGCAGACTCTATTAGCAGAAATGGAGAGTAGTCATGTGACACTATTCTTTTTTCTGGAGATCAGCACTAATAATTTTATTTTTTGTTAACAGGGCACCATCGTAGTCATAGACACAGAAGTCATTCCAAATCACCTGAAAGGTAAAAGCTTCGTCTTTCTTTAAAAATTCCCACTCATGTTCGAAAAAGCTCTTGCAAACCAATGTCAGAGCTTTCCTTTCACAAAGAAACTGAATTTTGAGATTGGTACCAATTTCTCTTACTACCATTTGTTTTGAAATCAAGCTAGCCCTCATTTTTAGGACAAACCATCCAGTTTGCTTTGCCCAGTAGCTTCTCTCTCTCAAACACACGTTGAAACGTTGTTGTTACCATTTCAGATCGAAGAAAAGCCACAAGAAGAGTCGACGAGGGAACGAATAAAGGATGAATTCCACTAAGCAGTTTGGGGACCCTGACCCAAAATCTGCTTGTAGATACTGTCTTGTTTATTTTGCAGGACAGGTGCTGTGGCTGCTTTAGCAGTCTTTTTTTTTTTTTTTTAATCCTCCTTCCAATCTTCTCTTGTTCAAGAAAGTGTTTGGGGTTTTTTTTTTCTATTAAGAAAAAGCTAAAGTAACTTTTTTAATGTACATAACTTGTTTATCCTCCTGGTGGAACGTGAGGAATAGCATGGTTTTTAAAATGTTTTCTTGATGGCCTGTGTAAAAATAGCACAACAGTGATAAGTCTAAGATGCCCTATAATGTTTATTCATTTGTTATGAAATGCCCTTGTTCATAAAGGCTGCTTCCTGTTTTCCAAAGTAATTGGTCTGTGTGCATCTATACAGACCCGGCTGACTCAACTGATACAGAAAGATTTTTTTTTTTAGGTACTCCACTAGCTCAGTTGTTTTTTGATAGGTGTCCTAGAGAAGCTGGCAAGAAACTGAAGACCCAACCACATGTCTATAACAACCGTTCACGTTTGAATATTTCTTGTGATATTATCAGCTCTGTAAATCAGTGCTTGTAAATAAAACAATGGCTTTACACTGAATGCATTTCTACCCATAGAAGTGTTCAAAGGTAGCACGGAGATGAAACCGTCAATTCCTTATATACTAGAAATATTACTGAACCTCTCCGGTAATGAACTGCACACTGAGCTGCAAGTGTGGAGCCAATTCATTACATTGTCTACAGTCTAGACATTACAGTCTACATTAACATAAGCTTAGATTCTGAAGAAACTGAATTGGCCCCACAACCACTTCAGATGGGATGGTGGGGAGAGGCAGGGGATACATCGAAACTGCTGCCTTTTAAATACATATTCCAACACCTTACACTAGAGTATGTAAGGCATGGAGTTAATGTCTAACAGCACGCAGGAAGTGGTTTAGAAAGTAAGCTGACAAGCCCCTGCATCTATGACTCCGGGACTGATGTGTTCAACAGGTGCAGGCAATAAACTGTTCTAGGGTTAAAATGCTAAACTTTGGAAGCAGTGACTGTTAAAAAGAAATCCAGTCAAGCAAACTCTAGATTCTGCAGCAAGAAATGAAAATCCTTAAACTGAGTATAAAATTGATTGGGGAAATTAAGCATGAGTTGTGAAAGATGTACACTCACGTACAAAAGAAATAAAAGCAAAAGTGGTTGAAGAGCAAGTTTTAAGAAGTTAAGTTACACAGAAAACAGACCCAACCCAAGTAAAGCCACCACAAAACACTGGAGCAGGCAGCGAGTCAGTGAAATCCATGAAGCAAAGATGAGGAACAATAGATACAAGTAAAAGAGCACGCCTGCTGCACTAGCACAGTTAAAGGAGCAATCAAGAATAAGGACCGTTACAAACAAGTTAAATGTCTTTTTGTTTCAGTGGCTGTTATGGCAATAATATTCTTTCAACTGACAAAATACTTCAGAGACATAAGGAAGAGACAATGCTGAAACAAACTGATGAATAGCTTGAAGTCCAGAGAGTAGACACTTGACAGCAGAATAAAGAAATCAAGTTACTAATAAATACATGCTCTTATTAAGATCAGTTACTCTAACTGAAGGGCAGCAACTCTTAAAAAGTCACCCAGGGGTGATGCTGGTACTTGCAGGATACTGAGCCCTATTTAAGTAGAGAGAGTTGGTTGTTACTCGAATGCATGCTGGTGGTCAAAGCGTATTAGGATGTATGAAAAAAGGACAGCAAATGCTGGAACAGACTATTGTCTAAACTAGATACTCAACCCCCAGCCCGCAGGCCCAATCTACCATGGTGCCACGTCATGCAGCCTGCAGGATTCCTCGTGGATCTGTGAGAAGCCCTGCAGGCATCCTCGTATGCTCGATCGGGTGCGCAGGGGCCTGATCCTCCCAGTGTGCAGAGCTGGGTGGGGTCAGTATGGCTCTGATCCTGGCTGGGCAGGGTCAGTCCAGAGTTGGATCCTGGCCACGCCTGGGCAGGGGCAGTGCAGGGCCTCTGGCTGCAGATCCCAGCTAGGCAGGGGCAATACTAAGCTCCATCTAGCCGCACACTGGCCCTGCAGCATTTATCTGGCCCATGGGGTTCAGGTTTGGTCAGCCAATTTTAAAATACAAGCTGGAGGAATCAGTGGGCAATGAAACTACTCTATAAACTGAGAAGACAAAGATGTTCAGCTAGGAGACACTAAATCAAGAGTGACAGTCTTGTAATGAAAACACAAGGGTTCAGTCAGTCAAACTGAAAAGCAATGCATTTTAAATGGAAATGATTTTTTCAATGTATTCATTTTTACATAGAACCTGTGAACTCAATACAACAAGGTGGCAAGAGTCCAAAAATGAGTAGAATTCACAAAAGACCTTTATGGATAATGAGGATACCCACTGTCACATGAAAAGAACTTTGTTTCTTAATAAGATGTAAATATTTCTGGGTATGAGCCAGACAATTAATGGAAGCAGGTAAAAGCTTCCACTAAGATCAGATTTTCCATAATTATTGATCAGGATTTTTAAACCTCTCTCTGAAGTATCTGCTATCAGCCACAACTGGAGATGAGATGTTGGACTAGATGGACCCCAGGTGTGAGCAAGTGGCAACTCCTTTGTTCCTAGCAGCATCTGCCTTATTATACATGAAAAGCAAAGGGTGAGCAACTAAGCCCACAATTGTTTAAACAGCAGAATGAGACTATCTGGCCTGGCTAAATCTCTCTTATTAAAAGGTTAGTAACTATTTAGCAGAACAAACATGCTGCTCTAAACCTGAGGCAGCAGGAGCTGTCACCTCCGGTTAGGCCATATTAACATTTCATTCAGAAGAGAGATGAGATTTTCAACACTTAAAAATGTTACATGCTATTATGATTAAATGTCACTTAACACAGCATCTGGGCACTATCAGTGACAAAAATCTTACGCTAACAGGATCAGTGCTCTCCTTCCGACTTCAGAAGGGCAAATCCTATACGCTTAATCGATTTTGCAGCAAAGGCCTATATATAAAAAAAAGTAAAATTCCAAAACTGAGATTCTAGGAGGAAAAGAAAGGCTTAGAGCAGAGTAAACGTGTCTAACTTAAATATATCCAGACAATAGTCACCAGAGCTATCTATGCATGTTCAAAAGAGACCTTTAAGATTGCTGCAGAGTAAACTGGCCATAGTCTCAAATTTGCTGTTTAAATCAGACTGCCTTAAGAATGATGAATAAAAGATTAAGAGCCAGAAAATGAAATGCCTCTCTCTTGAAAGGGCCTGACTTAAGCAATGGGCAAACCTACCCAACTATTTAAAAAATGGAAGGGAAGCTGCCATCGGGGAACACACATCATCCATTACAATGTACCTGTTACCTCTCCTGCAGTGATTCTAATTAGTTAAATCACTATAACTTAATCCTGGATGAAACTGTTACAGCTCTTTTGCTACACCTGTATCACTACAGAAGCATGAAGACAAAGTTTTTTGGAACAGCTTATACTGGTATCACTGGATCCATACAGCTGCTATCTGTCCACACCCAAAGAAAGGTCAAGAAAGACTTTACCTTGACCTCCTCCAACGGAGCCAGGTAAAGACTCTATCCTCTTGAGGTGCATCATATACAGAATGTGAAGACGCATCTATTGGAGGACCAGGTTAACAGCAAGTTACCTCTTCCCCCATGACTGAGTGTTATGGTACGGTCAGATTTCTTTGGAGCACTTGCACGTAACTGGAAGGATTGCTTGTGAAGGCAGAAGCAGCAGCCCACTCCTTCATCCATGCATATTGGAAGCATTTAAAGGAAAATGATAGGATCAATAAAATATTAGTGAATAGTAAAGGCAATGATTTTGGAAAACCCCCAAGGAGGATATTAAGCTCATTGTACGTGCCCCGGCTCCTTTAAGTCACTTCTTACAAACTTTTCACACAAGGCTACATTTGTTACCCAATTATAAACCAAAGCAAATTCAATATACAAATGCGGAAAAGGAAAAATCTTCATTCTTGTGTTGCGCAGTTTTGTTTTATTTTTTGTTTTAAAAAGTTTTTTTGGCACTACATAGTTCTGCAAAGAATAGAAGTGACAAATTTTAAAACACATGAAATCCCTTTCTAATTTTATTTTTTTAGAACAATATATATAAAGTCTGAAGCAACCAAAGTATGAATACAGCTAATAGAAAATAAAGAACTTAATTTTAAAAATTCTCTCTCTTTACAGTTTATCAAGATAAAACAAAAACACAATTCCCCTTAAAAATAGGGTAATAAAATAGATGAAATTTGTATCACTCAGTTTTGTGATACTAGTAAAAACTATAGATCATATCTATGTACAAATGATACAGTTTAAAAACAGTCTTAAATAATCTTTTATCTAAACATGTTGCATGTGGTAAGATTTTAAAATCAGAACCTGATTTTTCTCCCCCCTCCCATTAAATTTCACTTTTTCTGTTGAATGTAATTCATATTCAAGTGTGGGTGTCCTTGAGACAGAAGCGAGAACCGCTGGTTACTCTGCATCAGTGGACCAGCTAAAAGAAAATGGATTACAATTACTTCAGCAAATAAGATGTACTTCAAAGTGCTTGGCTATATTCACTGAATTATACATTTATGAACACAAGCATCTACTTGAGTGACAAGAGATTCCAGTTGTGTTACTCTCACGTATATATAAAATATAATGCTGCTTTAATCCAGCTGGTAAAAATCCCACAGAATCAAAATGCATCTTTATTTTCACACCAGTGCATCTGACTTCTTTTAAAATACAATAAAATAAATAATTTGAAGAGTAGAAAATGTGGGTCTCACCTGGAAATCTCACCTCATTCAATGGATGCAAGTGAAAAAGTAACTGGCTTTATATACAGTGCTTTTAATGCTAAGGATTCTATCTGGGTTTATAAAAGTTGCCCCAGCACTATGGTGTCTGGGTCCTTTTGAGTGGATTCTGGGGTACAATCCAAATTCCTACTGGCATGAAAGATCATTGCCCCACTGACTTCAAAGGGATTTAGATCAAGCCATTTGTGACCCAAAGTCCAACCCCACAAAGTGCTGCATGCCCTCAACTTCCACTGAAACCAGTAGCAGCTGAGTGTGACAACATATTGAATGACTGGGCTCTTAAGTGCCTGATCTTGTAAGCTTTACTTACAAGTAGCTCCCTGAAGTTGTATGAAAGATGATCACAATTGGTTAGGATTACTTACGAGAGAAATAGCTACAGGGTCTTGCCATAGTCATACAAAAATCACTTTAAAGCCACGTGTATTTCAGTGGGTGATAGTATGGGCGGGCAGCAGTGAAAGGGCCGTATGTGTATAAGCATGGAGATCAGTGATCAAGGAAAATGGGGCCAAACCTCCTACTGTTTCAGGAAGTGCCATGAAATGTCCATGCAGTGCAAGGAGGATTTTAGGGTTTAATTTTAAAAGACCTCTGCATGGACTTCCCTTATCTACCAAGGGAAGAGGAAGTGTTGATGCAACTCTGCTGGGATTCAAACTTAGGGTTCCAAAGAGCCTGAGCTTTTGAACAATAATTCATTGGCCTCTATGGTATTCAAACAGTAAAGAGACATATAGCTTCAGCAGACATGTTGTATGAGCTGTTGATTCATTTACTTGTTCTAGTACCTTGAGGGTAGAAAGGTTTGTTCGGTGGATAGCTGGCATTTCCCTGCTGCATGTAGTTCTGAGGCATATTGTAAGGCCACGCTCCTCGGAGGAGAGGAAAATGGGTAGGGGTCCCATGGTCCCAAGGGACAGAAGGAGGGTTCATTTTACCAAACTGTCCTTGGAAACCCTGATCTATTTTTCAATTGAAAGGGAAAAGCATATTGCAAGTTGAAATAATTAAACAGTAAATCACATAATACAACTTACATGTCAACAAGTAAACGTCGGGGACCGAAAGCAGCTAGCTTCAGAAAGTTAGGTTCTTAATAAAACCGTTATATTTAAAATAAAATGACTGTTTGTGACCTGAATGACTTCACTGCTTAAATGTAGTACAATTAGCTTGTTGGTGCCAGAAGATGAATCAGCCCTTAGAGCCGTGACAGAAGATCCCAGTCAGTGCAAGAAGAAATGTGCAACTCTAACGACACAGGGTGCAAGTTCTCAACAATGTTAACATCTGATCTGGCAGAGGTTTTCAATTATCACCGAAGTCCACTGATTTGGGGGCAATCATTGTATTGCAGGACCGCAACAGATCTGTACGAAGTGTTATGTGTGGAATTGTACTAATTCCTGAACATTTAAGACACTTCATACATTTTCATACCAACTTCACATATATTTCTATCTATAAATATAAAAAAGACCCTCAAGTGACTATACAACAACATGTATGCTAGTCAGTTCACAACCCTAGTATTACTGAAGCATGAAAGATGAGAAATCAAGCACCCAGAAGTCAGGGTATTCCAAAAATTAATGCTTAGTGCTTATTATTAAATCTGGTCTCTCTGTGTATGCCTTCCAATTCTAGAAGGCTGTGCAATATTCTATCCTTTAAAAATATAAAGATGAGGCATCTTTATTCTAATTTGATGTTAGTCGTTAAAAAGTAACTGCATTGAACCACCTCTTGAAAAGCCTGTTTTCAGGCTCCCCAGAAAGCCTGCAGATGGCTTCCACTGTTATAAAACTAGGCAAGGCCCACAATGCAGGAGCCAACTCTCATGTGGTTCTCACTATTGCAAGCAAAATGCTTGTTTACACATACCACTGTTTAGACTGGTCTTGCTCATGTTTTATATCTTAGGTTCTGCTTTTAGAATAAGTTAAAAAAATCCCATTTCCAAATAGCTCTGGATTAAGCAACTTACATAATTAATTGTCATTTGAGAACAGTGTTGCTCAGGTTCATTAAGGGCTACAGGAAGTTGCATGTTTTGGCTGGGCAGACATTGAAAGAGGGAGAGGAAGGCTAGGGCTGGCTGGGAAAGACTCTGGGACTGGAATCAGTTGTGTTGGATGGAAACAGTTGTGTTGGATGGGAAGCACAAACAAGATGAGGATTTCACAAACTGCAAAACTGAGGAGGAAGATAAATAACATAGGAAAAACTGCGTCTTGCATAGCAAGTTTGGAAAGGAAAACAGGACTGCCTCAGCAGAACAACTTGGACTAGAATGAGAACCACGAGGACTGCAAACAGGGACTGAACTTGCAAAGGCAATGGGACTAAGAAAAGGACCCAGGGATGGCAACAAGAGAGTCCTGGGACAAAGGAGTGTTGGAGGGGAAATCGCAGAAGGGCTAAAACTTGCGGAGAGACAGGTGCGTGCATCTGTGCCCACTAAAACCCTCAAGAATCTGGGGGGCCAGATGAGTTTGACACCTCTGATATGAAGTGACTGTCTATGTTAATGAACTGGAGGAATGTATTAGTAGGAGCACTGCCGGCAGATCAAGGGAGTAATTAACCCCCTCCTATTCTGCATTGGTGAGGCCACATCTGGAGCACTGTGTCCAGTTTTGGGTCCCCTACTACAGAAAGGATGTGGACAAATTGGAGAGAGTCCAGCACAAGGCAATGAAAATGGTTCAGGGGCTGGGGGACAACTTGTGAGGAGAGGCTGAGGGAACTGGGCTTCTTTAGTCTAAAGAGAAGACCGAGAGCGAGTGAATAGCAGTCTTCATCTCCCTTCAGGGGGGGTTGCAAAGAGGACGGAGCTGGACTGTTCTCAGTGGGGGCAGATGGCAGAACATGGAGCAATGGGCTCGAGTTGCAGCGAGGGAAGTTTAGGTTAGATATTACGAAAACCAATCACTAGGAGGGTGGCGAAGCACTAGAATGGGTTAGCTAGAAGGTGGTGAAATCTCCATCCTTGGAGGTTTTAAAGGCCTGGCTCAACAGAGCTCTGGCTGGAATGATCTAGTTGGGGGATGGTCCTGCTTTAAGCAGGAAGCTGGACTAGATGGATGACCTTCTGAGGTCCCTACTAACCCTAATTTTCTATGATTTCTGTTATTTAGATGTCACGTTGGATTATTTTTTAAATAATAAGAATAACAACTAGGAAAATTAATATTTTAAGAGAACACTAGTTAGGTTACAAAGCCAAGCACTCAAAAGACATGAAATACCAGAGTTAGTGTTGATTCCCATAACCATAAAACACCCCTGCCCCCCATGTACATATGCATCATGGTAACATACTACCCCGCGCCCCACCCCAAACACACTTTATTCAATACATAGGTTGGATCTTCTGTATGATCCAGAAAGTAAAAGTGATGCTCATCTGTAAAACCCTGGTCTAATTTGCTGCAGAAGATGGAAAAAGTATAGTGACTGTAGCAAAAGAAAAGATGGTCTTATTGTTAAAAAGCTACATGCTGCCTTGGAAAACTAGAATCTATCCTTGTCTATTAGATATTATGTCTGATGGTAGTAGGGTTACTTGCCAAACTTCTCAGAAGCGGCCACTAATGGTCTGTCCTTCATTTTTAATGTCCAACTTAAGTCCTTAGGCTGTGATTTGTAGAAGTGCTGATTGCTCACAGCTGCAAATGAAGTCAATATGAGCTATTTTTCAAATATACTAAGTGCCATGTAATCCCAAGTACTCTGAAAACTAAAGCCCAAGGTATCTCAAGTTGGGTACCTAAAATTAGTGGAAACTTTTTATCTTAATCTCTCAATGTGCAAGTTCCTCATCTTTAATATGGGGATATCACCACCATAACCTTGCTGGGGTGTTACAAAAATTAATGAATGTTTATGAAGGAGTCAGACCCCACAGCAGTGGGTATCATAGAAAAATCTAGGAGGAAATGAAAAATGTCCTCTATTCTTTGCACAGAACGATGCAGTGGGCCTGTGGAAGGAAAGTGTAATTAAAGTCTGTATCATGATGCACAAAGGGGGCATACTACAATTGCACAATCTTAATTCTGGCATTTGCTAACTTTTAAGTGCTTGATTTTACAACCTGAGGGAATGGACACACAACATACCTACTGTGGGATGAAGGGGGTGGATGTTTACTGTATATGTCAATTGTTCCCACCAGTTGCTCTTACCCATGGCAAGTGTGTGATAAAAGGCAATATCTTTGTCTTCACTGAAAGTGATGTAGCTACCACTTCCTGTGGGCAGCATGTGGTAAACACCCACACCTCCTACTGTCCCTTTTCCCCGGTGGCAAATTGACTGTTGGCCATACAATGATGTTACAAGAACGTTAAGGGTATCTGTGTAATGTAGTTTACAAATGATACAGACAGCATGAATAGAGACCAGATCTGAAAATAAAGAGTTGGAATGATGGTCAAGGTTGAAGAAATGTATTGGAATGCCCTGAATCGAGTGCTTGAATCCTCAGCCCTACTGTTGCATTCAAACACATTTTTCTGCACTGACATGAAAGGTTCACTTTATTCTGCCAAACTAATATGTTACTGAATTTCCCAGTGGAAAGTGCCAGCATTTCCCAGAGCTGCTGATGGCACGATCTACCAATGCTTAACAAATAGCCAATGCAAACTCGTGTAAATTTTCCTGGAAAACACTTTAAATGATATTGCCAAGTCACAATACAGCCCGTGTATGTCACTCAGTTCCTTAAGCCTCAGTTTTTGGGGTTGGGTGGGGGGGTTGTTAAAATAGTTTAAAAAGAATTAACTGGTTCTAGAACACTTAGCATTTGTACGCAACGTCTGAGATGTTTGATACAAGAGAGAAGAGTTACCTGAATTCCCCACAGTGCCATTGTTCACCAGAGAGTTTGGAGTCACAGGGTTGTGCCAGTGTCCCTCATGAGAAGTGCTGGGGATTCCCATGGGCCTGGCAGCAGGCTGTGCAAAGATGATACTGGGATCATTCAAGCTTACACTGCTCTGGTTATTTGTGGTGTTGCCGCTGCCAGACCTCACAGAAAATGGAACATTTGCAGAATGAGGAGGGTTACCTGGTGCAGAGTGAATAACGGGCCCGTGAATAGGCCATGAAGTGTTGGGGAGCTGAATTTGGTGGTGGTGGTGGTGGTGGTGCATCTGAAGCAGTCCCAGGTTATGCAAGGTAGAATACTGACCTGGGGGAGATTGGGGAAAGTTAAACAAAGGCAGCTGGACCTGATGGGGTGGCTGTGCGCCCTGCTGTGGCTGCGGAACGTGCTTAGACTGGGATATTGCCTGTGGTTGAGTCTGGTTAATGGAGGCTGGCTGAGAGGAAGTCTGTGTAAATTGCTGAGGCTGTGGAGAGTAAGATGACTGATGCGAATCAGACTGGAGGGGAAAAAAAAGTATGTATTTCTGATTAGTTTACTAGCTATGTCATGGTGTTTCTCTTTAACAAGAAGCCTATGCATAAGATCCTCACAAGGAAGGCAGAGGGCTCCACAACACACACGTTAACCCCCTGAGCTCAGGAGATGGGCAGAGCTAAAGTCGCTGCTGGTGTTAACAGGCAACTGCACCGATTCCCATTTTCTCCAGCAGATAATTTGGCCCGTAACTGTACATAGCACATCCCTCCATCAAAAACATCATATCAAACAAGCAACAGCCCCAGGCTACTGAGGCTCTGCAAATATATGGTTCTGATTCTTAGCCTTCCCATTTCTCCTGCCATGAGTTGCACAATATAATTCATTCTCACGAAACCCCAACAGGCTAGATTGCAAGAGTGGTTACAATCTCCCCAACCTCAACCTCCTCAGGCTACATTCCAAGAGTGGTTCTCACTGCTCGGTGCACTTCTCTGGGAGTTTCCAGAGCTGCCTTTCAATACTTTTAAACAATGTATTTAACCTATTGAATTAGAAATTGAAACTCAGAGGACCCAGTCTCATCCTTTACTTCCTGATATGAGACAGAGGCTCAGAGCATAGCAAAGTTAAACCATTGGCAGCAGCCCAGTCTCTTGCTTTCCAAGCTCATCCCTACTCCGGCAACATACGGGAGTAAGAGACAGGTGGGAGAGCTGCTAGCTGCTGCCACTAGGAAAAGGAATATTTCATGAATTAGGCTGGCTGGTGAGAGAGTTTCCCAGCTTTGCTGCTACCATTCTTCACAAAGTATCTGCACAACTTGTCAGTCCCCTTTGGCTGCTTCTCCCTAGGCCTAGATTGGCAAGTACTTCCCTTTATTAGCCAGAGGGACTAGCCCTTCTCTTAATTCTTTCCCAATCCTGGGTGTCTCTTTCACACTGGCGGTCTGTAGAATGGCTCTTCATGGTGATAGGCCTGGTGACTTTCTATGGGCAAAGCTGGGACTGGTCCCTGCTGCTGCATTAAATATCACTGTGTAAGGGGCATCAAATCAGGAAGAAAACGCAAGAATAGACAACTGGCAGAGACAATTACTAGTTTAACAGATTAAATACAAGTTTAAAAGTAGCAACTGAGAACTTGCTTCCAACCTCAAACCCACTCGTAATAGCAGATCACTCGTGAAGCAGCACAGTAACAGGACTGCATCGTCTTTACAATATTCTGCAGGACAACTGCTAATGAATTAACAAAATATTACACTCTATACCTAAAATTTACAGTTCTCAAAGTAAATGCACAAAGTCTAGTTATGGTGCAGCAGCTTTCATGCCTGTGTGTTTGCTTGCTTGTCGATTCAAATAGCAGGCAATTAGTTCAAAATCAATGAATTTCTGCTGTATTGTACCTAAGGAGTTCCTTAATGCCAGAAGCTGAGACTAGTTAAATACTTCTGGATAACAAACTTCACTTGGGGGAAGTTAAGCTGTTTATCTAGCTGTATAGTAATGAGACAATTTTTACAAACAAGTTGGGGAAACTTTTTTCTTTAATATACTGGACTTTCTCCACTTTGGTCACACCTTAGGTGGGAAATACCAGCGTCCCGGTTTTTCTGTGAAAAGACTCTTTTCCCCCTTCTGCTTCCCCTATCTTTGACGGTCACCCCCTGAAGCAGACTCTCCAATTTCCTAAGATAGGGACAGAGAGAGAATCATAATCCTCCCCAAACTACAGTCTTTTGTACAGCAGAGTTGAGCTGAACTTCAGTTTCAGTTTTTTCTACATGCATTTCTTAAGTTCTCATTATCATGAGAACTAGGCACAGTGCTCAAAGCTCAGCCTCTTGGGGCATCCTGACTCATAGCAATGATGGTCTTTGAGAACTGCTTCATGCATAGAATGAATCTTGTCCATAGAGTTTCCATTTTGAGAGACTATACGTGGTCTCCAAGCAGCATTCCTTGGCAACCCAAATCATTTCACTAATCGGTAATGTAGTGTTAAGGGCAGTATTGTCCTTAATTACCCAAAACAGCATATTACATTCTAGTAGCACAGACCAGGTTTGCTGACTGTTACAGGTAAAAAGCTTTTATTTCAAAACTATCAAACTAATTAAAACTTACACATTCTGATGGTTGTCTAGTGCGTAATGGTCGTTCCACTTGTTGAACCGACCCAGCCACGAGCTGTGGATTCACCAGGCTTCGGACCAACTGAGCACCTAAAGAAAGTATCAGAAAAAGACATCTGAATATAAATTACAGGAGATAATATTACAGGAGACAGAGCATATATGCCTGGGAGCCTGAAACCCCTGAGTTCTAATCTAAACTTGCCATGTGGTTTGGACAAATAATTTAATGTCATTAGTCCTACACAGAGGAGCAAAACTCCTCTCCATTGACAAGTGTCAGCAATGGATGAAGCATAATGAGAAATTGCACTTTGCTTTGATCAGCGTGAATTGCAGCAGAGGCAAGGCTCTCTCAGCCGGCAGACATGGGAGTCCCATCTAAATCAGTGCCCACCCGCTCCTCCCCCACCACTACAAACAGTCGGGTGTTACCCGCATTACCAACTGTAGGACAATTTTCACAAAAAAAAAAAATAGGAAAATATTTTTTAAAGTATTTTTTTTATCATTTATGATCCTACATCCTATGTTCACAGGAATCCTAACTCCTCTCAACTTACAGTTACCTAGGCACCTAAATCACTTCTGAAATTAGAATCAAGGCTAAGTCACCGAAATGCTTTTGAAAATTTTAGCCAAAGCTTTGAGTCTTTATCGGATTAGATTAAACTACCCCACAGGGATGGAGACTTTGTTAATGTTTATGAAGCATTTTGTGTGATCATTATCATTGTATTTATTACTACCATGATTTTTATTACTATTATTTTATACACTAATCAGGCAATTTAAGACAGTTATTTATAACATTCCCAAATGTGGAGTAAAATAGAATACTTTGAAACCAGACTTTGTTTCCTTCTGAAGTGATTTTAAAAGAAGTTATTCATTATGGCAATTATACAACTATAGTTATGTCAATCGCTTTTTATTTAACACCTGGTCATCTTGCCTCATTCCGAAATTTTGAACTATCAAGGTCCAGTCCTTCCTCAGCAACTGAAGCCTAAGACCCCTCCTTTTTCTAAACAGTCTCCCTACTTAAAAGAAATAATTTTTGCATTATGCAGCAGCACCTTCATGAATCAGGGAGGTACGAAGTAGCAGAGAGCAGGAAACGTTCCATTACAACAGTGACTGCTCCTGACATTAAAATTAGTGTTGTTTTTCTGGCCTGCTAAAAAAACAAGTTCTCTATTATTCACAGCATGAGACTTTCATAGAATCATAGAAGTCGGGTCGGAAGGGACCTTGCAGATCTTCAGGTCCGACCCCCTGCTTGGGCAGGAAGAAAACTGGGCTCAAATGACCCCAGCCAGGTAGGCATCAAGCCACTTCTTAAAGACCCCCAGGGTAGGAGCCAGCACCACTTCCCTTGGAAGTTGGTTCCAGATCCTAGCCACCCTGACTGAAGTAGTTCTTACGGATGTCTAATCTAAACCTACTCTCCAACACCTTGTGGCCGTTACTCCTTGTTATTTCGGGGGGCGCTAGGGGAAACAAGGTCTCCCCTAAACCCTTCTGGTCCCCCCTAGTGAGTTTATAGACGGTTACCAGGTCCCCCCTCAGCCTTCTCGTGAAGGCTGAAAAGGTTCAGGTCCTGTAACCTCTTGTTGTAGGGTCTTTCCTTTCCTTTTTTCATGTCCTTGTGTGACAAAGTATTTAGCAGAAATCACATATTCGCTGGAATCTGACAGGCTGAGACTGTGAGCGCTTCTGCTATGACCTGCACCAAAATGCCCTGATGGAAAATATGTAGGAGAAACCATACAACAACTGCGCACTAGAATGAACGCACACAAAAAATCTATCAAAGACTCAATACCCAATTACCTGTGGGTGCACATTTCTCACAGGACAATCACTCTCTCTCCAATCTCTCAGTTCTAGTCCTCAAAGGGAATTTACAAAATACCTTTCATAGACAAACCTACGAACTTCACTTCATCAACCTACTGGATACAAAAATTCATGGACTAAATATAGACACTGTGTGTCATGTGTCATAGATCCAACCTGCCTAACATGCGACTCCCCATGTAAACCCTCCACTTTTTACCAGCTATTCTCATTCCCTTCCCTTCCACCCTCCTGTGTCTCATCCTCTGACTAGAGCTACACTCATTTCCCTGCAGCTCGCCTATCTTTCACCTACTGATCACCTTAATTTACATTTTAACTGAGTGGCTTTCTTCCATAGGTACTGACCTCTGGCTGCTTTACCACTCCATCCAGGAAGAGCACAGACCATCTGCAGATGCTTCCTCAACCTGATGAAGGGTATTTGTGCCCAAAAGCTTGCTAAGAAGAATTTTTCAAACTATTTGAGTAATAAAAGATATCAGATTTACCCAAAGAACCGTGCCTGCCATCACCTTGAACTTGAGGCCTCTGAGCTGTCAACCATGTGCCTTAGTGTCTGCACCACCCCAAGTATGTGACTGAGCATGTTACAATTCCAAAGATAGACAAGGAGAGAAGATCTTCCCAAGAGATATTTTAAGTGGGTTCATAAATAGTATATTCAGTTAACATCAATATCAGTCTATGATATCTGATGTACAAAAAGCAGCATTGTAATAACCCTAAATAAGGTTCAAATATATTAATATGTCAGTTCAAGTATACCCCCCCTTCCCGCTCTAATAGTTATATTTTTAGTCGCTTCCTCCCAAAGACACCTTACTCCGCTTTTCCAGATCATTATTGTTATCTGTCTCCACACAGTTCCAAGGGACTTCATGATCTTAACCACTTGAAGTCCTAACACCCATAGCATGCTATTTTCTCACATCTTTACTGCTATTGCACCCTCTCCAACCACTAGATTGTGCCTGGGGATCCAATGCTTGTGGCTTTAATACAACTCTTGACAATGAGAAGTAGCACTTTATCACTGAGGAATAGATGCAACGAAGATCCTTATAATTCTGAGAAACTATCATCCAAAATTCTGGATCCAGGCACCACTGATCTCTCTCAGTGAAAGATCTCTGACCTTGACTGTCAAAATCCACTTTCAGTTGCAAAGTACTTCAATATGGACAAGGGTAAGCAACATAAAAGGAATTTTATTTGTATAGTAAGGCAAATAAAGCTTAGTTTTAGCTAAACCACCTTCTCCTTGTGGCCACTGAATGTAACAGAGTGTGCCATCTACTGTCTATTTCTCTGTAGGGCTCAGTGAACAAGAACTTATATCCTCATCCCTGTTCTGGCTGTTTTCCATCGATCAGGTGGCATGAAACAGATGAGACTGCAGTTACAGAAAGGAATTCTGAGGTGGCATGGCTGTCACAGCCAACTTCACACATCCACCAGAAGTGGATGGTGTAACCTGGTGTAGTATTGTGATGCGATATGAGTGTACCAGTAGCTTGCATTACTGAATTATTCCAGGTAGTCAAATCTCAAACCAACAGAAAGAAGCTGCAGAAAGATCTCACCAAGCTAAGCGAGCAGGCAAAAAAAAGGGAGATGAATTTCAAATATTGACAAGGGCAAGGTAATACACACGGAGAAAAATAACTTTAAGAATACATCCACGATGCTGGATTCTGAACTAGCTGTTAAGACTCAGGAAAGAGACCTTGGAGTCAGTGTAGACTGCTCTCTAAAAACATCTGCAAAAGGTACAGAGGTGACCAAAAATCCAACAACATGTTGAGAATCATTAAGAAGGGAATTCAAAATAAAATGGAAACAATCAGGGTTATGGGGTAGTTGCCATACCAGGACAGACTAAAAAGGCTACAACTCTTCAACCTGGAAAGCTGAAAGCTGAGGTGGTATATATGGATAGAGGTCTACAAAACCATGAAGCAGGTGGACAAAGTGAACAGGGAACTGTTAGTCACCAAATCCCAGAATACTAGAACTAGGGTGCTCCCACTTAAATTAGTAGGAGACAGGTTTAGAACAAAAAAGTAACTTTTTAAGCAGTGCATAGTTACCTTATGGAATTCATAACCACCAGAGGTTGTAGGGGCAGACAGTATAGCGAGGGTCAAAAAGGGACTAGACAAATTCATGGACAACAGATCTATTAATAGCTATTAAAACAGAACAGTCAGAGATGTATTCTTTGGTATGTCTAAACCAATCATGGATGCCAGGGAGGGTAACGAATACAGGATAGATAACTCTAGATATACTTGGTTAAATATTCTACCTCTAAAGCACTGGTATTCAACCTCTCTGGCCCCATGGGCCGGATCAGTGGCACGGGGAGAGTCCATGGGCTGGATACCATGTGTAGGGTCAATCTTCTGGCCAGATCCAGCATGGGGTCAGTGCGCAGGTCCGGTTGGTGAGTGTGATCTGTCCTGCCAGCACAACCCCACACACTGGATCCAGCGGCAGAGAAACTGGGCAGCTGTGCAATCTGGCATGCCAGGGCCATGTTGTTTGGACTGCAGGGCTCCCCACAGGCCTGGAAATTTGGTGGTGGGAGACTGGTGGCACCGTTAATTGCCACAGCTCTGGGAGCAATTAATGTTGCTACTGATCCCTTACCAACAAATTTCCAGACCTGGTACAAGCCTCACAGGCTGGATGACAACTCCATGGGCTGGATTAGGCCTGCGGACTGGAGGTTGAACACCACTGTTATAAAGCATCCACTCCTGCCACTGCCAGAGACAGGCTACTGGATTAGATTGACCACTAGATTGACCACTGGTCTGACCCAGTATGTGCTTATGCTTTTAGACTTCAGTTCTGCATTCTGGTGATCCTCTGCCCACAAGGTGACTATTCTTGAGGTGAAGTCATCTTGGGATCCAAACTAATCCCCCAGCTTGTCCAGGATCAAAAGAATGGAAAGATGACTTGAACACACCTTTTTGCACTCACCCATTCAAAAACTCTTCAAGAGGCAACATCCCTTTTAGTGAAAGAGGGTACTTAGGAACACGTTTATGCTTACAAGGACAGCGAACATCATGTTCTGCAAATTTAAGATGGCAATGAAGGCTGTCAAAGCAAAGGGCCTCAGAATTATCCAGTAACAACAATCATGCACAAGACTACTTTTACCTGGTACGCTGTTATTTCTCTGTCGAGTTTGTTTAAATTCAGGACAATCTCTTCTAACATGTCCCACATCCCCACAGATGAAACATCTCTTCTCTCTCATTTCCCTATCATCTTCTTTCACTTCTTTTTCATCATCTTTCTCATTCTCCTTTTTCTTCAGCCTGCACAATAAAGTTCATTAATGGTGGTGCCAAAAAAGAAAAAAATCTCTGAACAGTTCTGTAATTCCTATGCCAAATGAAGTGGTAACACACACACTAGATGTACTGGAACACGACCACCTCAGAGCCTCAAGAAAAAACTACCTCAACTTTTTTCTTGTTAAGGAAGAATGGTTTGAGACAAGTTAATGAGCTTACTAGATAAATGTACACTTAGAGCAGTTTCAGATTGGGAGAGGGAGCTGTTGCTGGTTGGGAGTTCACAGCACTGTTATACTCAGATGCACGCACATGGGTTAAATTGTTCAAACTTAAATCCTGGATGAAGCAGGGTTAACATTGGAGCAGGTTTGCTACATCTATATTACTATAGGCTTGTGTACACATAACTGTTATAGATTAACAGCTGCTGTCTGTAACAGCAACTTCCCTTCCCTTTTGAAACTCCAAATATACATTTGTCTATCCCCTTTGTTAGGTAAAGGATGAGGTACAGCATAGGTATGACTTCTCTGTAAGGCTAGGTTAGCAACCTGGGCCTAACATGTAAAAGCACGGACTAATGCAGAATTAAAAAGTAACGTTCTTTCAAATGCTAACTGTTGGAAGAAGCTATGGAGAAGGTTTGCCAAACTGGAATGGAAGTGAAGAACTGAATAAAACTCTTTTCCTATGCTTTGCTTCTTTTTAAACATAGTCAAAATATATAATCTGCTATTACCATTTATAAGTCGTGTGCTATAAAAGCCGGTAGTAAGACATGGCTCCATCTCAAAGGTTATAATCTAAATTGAGGACAAACTCATAAGAGCAGGCAGGCCAGATGAGTGGCATGGGACCAGTCCATGGTCTGGATGCGGCCCACAGACTGGCCCCACACTCTGTGTGCAGCACGTGCCCTGGATTGGCTCTGTACACCACATGTGGCATGAAGGGCCAAGGCATGCCACATGTGGCATGTAGGTCTAGTTCAAAACTCACAGGCAACATGTGACCTGGATAGGGCTCTGTGGGCCAGATCTGCTCTACAGACCGTATCTTTGATATCCCTGATCTAAACAACAAAAATAATTACTAACAAAGGCTACACAACAGCATGTAATTAAGAGCAGATAATTCAAGAATGTTGTTGGCACATATCTTGTTCATTTGATGTGTGCGCATATGTGGGAACACTCTTTTGGAGGAAACACTGCAAAGTGGCATGTTTAGATGTATACCTGGAAGCAGAGAGATACAAAAAATTTTTATTTTCTCTGTAATGCAATGTTTTTCTTATCGGTATTAAATTGCCACATCATAAAACCTCTGTTGACTACATAGGACTGTCTGGATTAAATATATTTTAATTTCAAACAACAGTTTTGCATAGTTTACCCACCTCCTCCTTTTTGGGCAGTCTTTCATGTAGTGACCAATTTTTCCACAGACACGGCAGCATCTATCATTAGGTGCCAGCTCCCCATCTGTCAACACTTTGGAGTCAAAGAAGTATTCCTGAAGAAAGGCATAAGACTATCACACTGGAAAATGGATTAATTTACTAACTTAAAACAGATGGTGAAGAGCAGGAAAGACTCCTTCAAAGACTGCAAGGGCGGTGGCATCTCCAGACTTTCACTCCTGGATGTCCTGTATTCCTTTCTTAGAGGGTACTGACAAACAGTACTCTTGTGCTGCCATAACATTTTTTGTGGTGGCACAAGTTACAATCATACAGACTTCCTAGCCCCCTGTTGCACTCCAAGTGCCTAAAAATGTTGTTGTAACCAAAGGCTGTCACAATTTGTGATGCCTTGTAGGGTCCCTCTACATGTGCAGGTAAAGGTGCAATGGGATCTAATACATGATCCATGCAATCATGTCTCCTACCATGCCACAAATGCATGGCAGGGGGCATTGCACATTAGATCCCATCATGCCTTATTGCTCGTGCAGGAGGGTGCAATGGTCCCAATATACCAGCAAGAAGCAAGCTCCCATAGCTGGGAGCTTCAGCTGTGGTGGTGCCCAATGCATTCTGGGGCTGGGAGACGCAGCTGCCACGATCTTCCAGCCTTGGAGTTGCATGAAACCCCTGAGGCTGGGAAACTGCAGCAGCACCCCCGTGGGCTGCTGTGACCCAGCTGGGCCCTGGCACCAGGAGGCATGCAGCAGGAACCCAGCATCTGGAGCTGCGGGACTCTCGGTCCTGGCACATGCAGAGTGCTGCTCCGTAGTTCTAGTATTGTAACAGTCAGCAGCTGCTGGGGCTAAGTCCGCTCAGCTGTGGGACTCCCAGTCCCAACTGGGCACAATTCTCCCGTGTGACTGGGAGCCGTGTCAGCTGTCAGGGCTCCCAACCACAGGAATGACCCTGCTGCTGCAAATTAAAGTTTGATAGTAACCAGCTATAAAGTTAGTACACATTTTCAAGGTCTAACTTCATACCTGGTTAGAGCTTTTTATGGCATGATAGATACTTTGCACGTGTAGCTGGTCTCAAGGTAAATGCATAATTAACTGATTGTGTGATACCTGTAACGTGTAGAAGGGGCCAAAGAGGAGGACATCTGATTGCTTATTGTAGGTGCTGGGAATTCCCCTGGCACACCTATCTTGCTGCCAAACCACTTGCACGTCCATTCTTGCAGAGATGTGCCCCAAGTTAGGGTGTGGCACCCAGGGTTGCTATCCTGCAGGACTGGGTCCCCAAAGTCTCAGAAGCAGCAGGGACCTGACCTCTTGGGACAATGGTCCCTGTAAATGCCAGTGAAACTCCACGGCATCTGTTTATACTCTGAGAGATGACCTGCACTGATTCCCAATACTGGAATATGCATTTATAAGCAGAGGCAGTTGGGTCTAGATGGGCATATAAAAGGACTCCTCCATACTAACCCCAGCTCTGGAGTTTTAATCAAATAAAATACAGACAATACTAACTTCCCGCTCTTCTCAAATAGATTTAAATTTAAATCGCATCACAACCCAAATGTTCCTGGGAAGCTGCCAAGGTAACACCTGCTTTCACAAGGACCCTGATACAAATATAGCCCACTTTCCAAGAATGATGAAAATGCCTACAGGACTGTAATTCTGCTTCCAGTACTATACTTTGCTTGGTATTTAGCCTTATGTTGAGTTGTATATATTATTAATCTCATTGTATGTCTTATTGCTATGAAAGTGAGCAGGAAAGTACAACAGTTTGCTCTGAGTGCCCCATTTTGATGGACAGAGAAAGGAAAACATGTACAAGTTCTGTACAACAAACTATGTGAACTTACAGCTTCTCTTCCCACTGCTGGATAAAATGGGGTACCAAACAGTTTTCGCCCATTGATAAATGCCTTCATTATGAAATTGGTCACTGTTGAAGAAAGGACAAAATCATTGGAAAATAGAAAGGCACCTTGCTGTAAAAATTGCTGAGTACAAGTTCAGCAGCAGGCATTGAGATCTTACTTTTTCTGGAGACTCCAGCGCCAAGATTATGATTCAAGTCAAAAGGATCTGTATAAAGGAGGAAAAATATGTAGGAGTTTATAAAATATTACAATGCAAAATTCTCTTGCATTTTATGAATATATTTCCATGTTGATAGTCCTATGGTAAGTATACTCATAGCATAGATGGGATAAGATAATTTTGGGTTACAGTTATATTTAAAGTTAGGAGTCTATTTTCCCATGTGTGTACTGGCAAACTGAATTCTCAGAAGCATTAACCAGGGTTTGCCATAAGATCCAGTGTATCACCAGAAGAGATCCCTTAAACAACTGTGTTCTTCTCTTGCTAGGTAACAGAAGAGAAATCCAATAAAGTACCTTCAATGGCAATGCATTTGGAGGTCCACTGTTTCTCAAAGGTGGTTAATAGTTTCTTCTGCCGAATGCTGATCACATATTCCTTGAAGTCAAATTCTTCAGTGTAGAATCGCAGCAACCCTAACCAGAGTTCTCCTAGTGATTCAGTGTTCTTTCCAAGAGAAGGCAAACGCTTTTTCTACATGCAATTTAAGACACAGTTTATACAGGTACAACCAACAAAGTACTTTCCCGCCCCTAAGCTATATCGTAAGTAGGAACTTGTCTACATGGGACAGTTACAACTATATAAATTAAGGTGTCAATTTTAACCTCTGTAGTTATAATGATTTAACTCCCAGTGCTGCACTCTTATGCTGGTGGAACAGAGTTCTTTCCTTGTTCAGCTTGTCACTCTGGAAGGCGTTTAAGCTAAACCTGCCCCTCCCCAAAGCCATTTATTTCAGAATAATGGAAAGTTATGTTGAAATAATTATAACAACTTAACTATACTACTAAACTTGTACTAGCGTAGCTGGCAAAACTTCCCCATGTAGACAAGACTGATGATTTAGTGAATACTTTGGAATTAGAATATTACCAGTTCTTCCATGTCATCAAAAAAAAAGGCATTCCACCCATCAACCATTCTCTGTGGAATCTGTTTTCCATCAAATATCTGCAGAATAGAAGAACAGTTACATTTCCATTAGTCAGTGGCACCTTGGGTTCAAGTAAATGTAAACCAGTTGTAAAACAGCTCGTTACGATACATTTCAAAACAGATTTTTATTTCAGCTGTAGTTTGATATGTTTACATGGAAGCACAAAGAAAATATTCCGATGCCATTTGAATATACCTGAATGCAGGCAATCCTACTCCTATATCAAATATTTTGGTATTTTACTTTTCTTTTCTTTATAACTATGAAGAAATGCACAAAGTCATTCCATCTGGTTGCAACCAGCTGCTGCTCCCTCTTCACTAAAACTCAAGTTAAGCAGACCATAGCAGACCTACTTATTTTGAGCATAATTTCATTTATATGAAGGAAAGATCTGACTGCAACTTAAATGCACTCCAAGAAGTAGCCAGGCAACAGCTGTCTCCAGAATCAACTGGAGTAGCTCAAACTTTTGCATGCAGTGAACAGAAAAGGCAGGCAGGGATAATTCTCAGAACTAGATTACATGCAAGGAAAGGAAGGTGTTTGCGTCAGCGTAGTTCATTCCAACTTGAGGTGCAATGGAGGTATATATATTATTTTATTAGAACAATTCTCAGCACTTAGAAAACACTAATTACAAAGTGCTGCATAAATATTTTCCAGTTAATTCTTTTGTCAGCATCTCATCAGGAAGGCAGGTAAACTTCTCCCTTCTTTGACAGATGAGAAGTTGAGTCAAAGCACTTACATTGCCTGAAGCTATACAGCAAATCAATGGCAGAGCTGGACTTGGAACCCAGGGGTGTCGAGCTCCCAGCTCCTAATTACATCACCATGCATCCTTTCTGACTGATTCCTTTCCTTTTCCCTATAACCAAACCCCAAGACAGTGAATGCAACAGCACAAACTAGATACAATATACACTCCTGGTTTTCTTGCGGTTTTCTCAACAAATCTGATCTATACTACAAAGCAGAATTTAGGAAAAGGATGATGAAAAGCAACCCAGCATTTTCAATTGTCTTGCTAACCCAGTGGTGCTCAACCTTCAGTCCACAGGCAAGATAAGTATTGGGCTGGTCTGTAAGCAAGCTGTTTGGGCCTCAAGTGGCAGGATTGGGCCTGAATCAAGCTCCACACTGCCTTTGCCTGACTCTGCACCCCAAGATTGGGCCCTGTCCACTGAGATCAGGCCCTGGCACCACCCACACTAGTCCTGTGTGCCCAGATTGGGCCCTGTGCCATCCTGCACACCTGATCTAGTGCACAGGGCCGTGCTATCTGGCCCCTGGGACTTCCCATGGGTCCAGAAATTTGGCAGCATGGGAGCAGCTACTGCTCCTCCACTGCCAAATTTTTGGACCTGTGGGGATAGATGACGGCTCTGGGGGCAAGATCTGGCCCACGGGCCAGAGGCTGAGAACCCCTGCTCTAACCCACAGGACCAGGGGATCTTGTATTTCATTTAGAAAAGGGAATATAATTTCTTCCATTACTGCTTCCCGAAAAACCTACCTCCTGAAGAACTGGGATAACTGGTGGGTTTCTTTGTTGTAGAAAGTACAACACCATAAGAATATAGGCATATGAAGACAAACTTCCCCTCGACGCATCTCCGATGTCACAGCGCTGAAAAAAACATATTTTAAAGGATTTACTGAATAAAAATTAAGCCACCAGATATTTAATAATAACTATGGCACTGAACAAAGACTTAAGCATTAGCAAAAAAAAATGTTTCATAACTACTTCACAAAGTCTAAAAAAGTACATGTCCACACATCCTGTGATAGCTGTCAAGAAGTCCAGGAATAAGATCTGACCAATCCATAAACCTGCAATGATCTCATGGAGATATGTCTTCCCAGTACTAAGGTACAAAATTTTTATAAATGTTCTCTCGAGTTCTGCACAGTTTCTAACAGATAAGTCTATTTACATTCACAATTTCAGCCTTATAAAAACAGTTTTCCTGAATTTATGCTAACAGAGATGGTTTTGGGATTTTTTTCACATTTCATTTGGGTTTGTTTGTTTGTTTTAACTGTAATGAATTTTTTTTTTTTATATGAAATGATTTTCTAGTATCATTTCCAGCTTATACTTCACAGCATTAGGCTAAGGTAGGGCTATCCAACTGGCAGCCTTTGTGACCTATGAACTGTTCATCTGCAGCCTCAGGCGCTCACCTGGCTGCTATTCTCCCGGGCTGTCTCTAGGCTCCCCCCTCTGGCTGCAGCTTTCTCCCTATACCCTAGGGAGAGGGAAGGGGGAGAAGAGAGATAGGGACTAGGGGAGAAATCGCATCCGCATGGTGCAGTAGGGAGGAGGGAGGTGCACTTGTGTGCAGTGTAGCATGGGGCAGTGTCTGGGTGGTGCCTCTGGTGCAGCCCCCAGGGGTTTAGAAGTTGGACATTGGACAGCCCTGGGCAAGGGCATAACATCCCAAGAGATGAAACCAGAAGCTTACTCTCCTTTTTCAGTCTGTGTGAAATACAAAAAGCAAACCTTAAACAAAGGGAACTACCACATTCAAACTTGAAGAATATCAAACTTAGTGTTATTAATAGTACAGATAAGGACATCCAGTTAAAATCACCATATTTAATATCCTATAGTTACTTTCAAGACATTTTTTAAAATATAAATATTTGTAATTGTATTTAAAAACCCAAACTTTTGATTATGTAGTAACTGGTACCAAAATGGAAGATTTTTTTTTAAGTCTGCTATAGAAAAACAGCAGCAGTATTTCTTGCTACTAATATCTGAACTCAAGTGCTAACAATGGCCTCCAACATTAGGAAATGCAGGGCAAATGCATGGACCCTTAAACTCGTTCCCCCTGGTTAGGATACAAAACAACTTATTGGCAGTTTACTTTGATATAAAAGTGTACACACGTTAATGCACTTACTAGAGGTGCACTGATACATTGGTCCATACCGTATCGACACCGATAAAAGGAAAATTGACATCGTTGGCAACCGGCCTTTCTGGCTGATGTGGCCCATAACATCACTGATAAATGCTCAGTGCACGTGTGCAGCCGCAGCATGCACGCGGCTAGGAGTGAAGCCTGGCAGCATGGAGATCAGCGTCCAGCTGTTAAGTCTGTGGGGGGAAACAGGTGGCGGGGGGCGCACACTGAGGTCCCCACAGTGAGGGAGGGAGTGGAGCTGGGTTTGGAAAAGGGGCAAGGGCAGGTGCTGCCTCCAAGGCAGGGCACAGGATGGAGCCACAGGTGGCTTATCTGGGGGGCAGCTCCTGCTGCTGTATGGGAAGGCATGGGGGGCAGGTGCCCCCTGGATTTGTGCATGGGGTGAGGACCAGGGGCTGCACTGGCCTCTTCCTGGTAGTGGGTCTGAGCTGGGGCTGCACTTAGGGCAGGCAGTGGCTACAGCAGATTTTGGGGTGGCTGTAGCCCACCTTTGCAGCACCACCGCCCACCCCAAGTGCAGCCCCAACCCAGCCCCTGCTGGGAAGAGGCCAGCACAGCCCCTGGACCTGAGCCTGCAGCCTGCCCTTCCCCGTACTCAAATCCAGGGGGAAACATGTCCCTCATGCCTTCTCTGGGGTGTATGTAGCAGTGGGAGCCATGCCCTCTGCCCCGTCCAGATGAGCCACCCACGGCTCCTTCCCATGCTCTGCCTGAGCTGGGCAGTGCCTGCCCCTGCCTCAGCCCCACTCCCTCCCTCACCATGGGGGCCTCAATGTGCCCCCTCCATGCCCTTCCTTCCTCACAGACCAGCTGGATGCTACTCTCCAAGCTGCTGGGTTGCATATTGGGAATCAGGTCAGTGTTGGCCAATATGGCTGGTTAATAATCGGTCATTGGTATTGGCCGAAAAAAAATTAAGCCTTTGTCAGTGCACTCCTAGCAATTACCACAGCAATATCTGTAATATGAATCTAAGACAGCACTGTCTAAACTGGTGGTCTGCAGGCTGTATGCAGTACCCTGAAAGGTTAGCATATGGCACATTGGCTTCCACCCTGGCACCACTCCCTGCCCCAGCAGCAGGGTTCTTTGGGCTTCCTTTCCCTCCTCCAGCTTCTACTTCTTGCCTCCACTCTTGGGGAGCAGGGAAGAGTAGCAGGAAGGGTTTGGGGTACCCAAGCTGTGCATGCAGCAGAGAAGGGGGCCATGCTGCTCAGTAGTCAAGAAAAGACCTGGGTGGCTTGCACAGCAGGTGGGCACCATATGCAGGCGGGAGGGGGTGTTACTTCTGCAGCAGCATGGAGCTGGGCTGCCTGTGCTGCCCTGGGGAGGAATGGAGGAGGAGGAGAGCTGTGTCCACACAGCAGGGAGAGTGGCTTTGTATGAGATTGGGGCTACAGGGTGGGTGCCACCTACATGGTGAGTGACCCCTAGGGCTGGGACCCCAGGTTTGCGACCCCCAGCTGCCTAGAAGTTGGACAATCCTAATCTAAATATTTTGTTTATTAATATATCAAAACTTTTATCCCAGTTTTTATAGACAGAAACACTTAGTTAAAACGTTCCGAGTGATTTGTAGAAGGCCACTAGAGGAAAATCCTAGCCAAAGGAAGTCAGGAATCTCCTCTCCTCCCCCGCCCAATCATGGGGTCTTTTAAAAATGTAACTAGACTGTCCAGTCCCCCTCTTGGGAAATTCATTATTGATACTGGTAAAATACAGTGGATCCTGGAACACATTCTGGAGCGAAGTCAGAAGCAGATTTTATGGTACCCCACTGGAATACAGCACAGTAGCTGCTGATACTGCAGTACAGCTTTATATCAGTAATAAAATATATATCCCATTAGTGTTTCCATTAAAATACATTAATAGAGCCAATTAAATGGTGGAGAATAGTAATGAGCTGGCTGTGTACCAAATCATTTACTGTTTATTTCCAAAAATCTCACTGCACAGAACAGTTACTATTATGCTTCATTACAAGATTACGAGAGAGAGAAACAAGCAGCTTTCTTTAGATGTAAAATTTATCAGCTGGATGCACTAGTGCATTCTGAGCCACAACTTGTTAAGCTTTCTGTAATTGCAACTGGCTTGAGCTCAAGAAATGACTTTTTTGGAATATCAGCTTTCCAAGAAACAAACACAGTTAACCAGCCAGCAGAAGGCATTAAAGGCCAGCTTCTACACTGGAATACATGTCTGTAACATGACTGGCTTCAAAGGAAATAACATACATTTCTGGGGTCAGAATTTGTTTCTAAGACTTGACTATGTCAATATACGTGGCCACTCAGGACATCAGCAGCTTAAGAAAGGTTCTGCTTGTTTTCTTAGGCACTAGCACACGTGAGTTTTTTCAGGACACGGACCATCTAGCAGGGAGCATAGTTTCATACAAACAGGGATAAGAGCCATGTTTTCATTTGCTATTACCTTAGCAAAAACTTTCATTGTATAACCCAAGTATTGTACTCTAGGATCAATAGCTGCGTATGTAGCCAGCATTCTTGTGTTGTGCTGTGCCTGGAAAAAAAAGGAGTCAGACAAGAGTTAGAAAATAGTTCTCAGTTTAGTTTGCAATTCAGACACAAGGATTATAAGGAGCCAAATTTTGAGTGCGGTAGAGTCTCTGCTCACTTAAGACTCATGCATCATTCCACAGGGGTTGCATAAACACAACTGAAGGTTAAATTTAGATCAGCATTTAGTAAAACGTATCACCTGAAAATACCAGCAGAGTAATCAGTTCAAACGTGACATCACTCTAGGACAGATCCTGTCTCCACCTCTGCTCATGCAGAGGCTTTAAAAGGAACAGCAGTACGATGCAAGTCAGGAACTTGGGAGCCACACAGGGATCGTGCTGGCAAAAGGACCATGGGGAATACAGCAATAACAGCTCCATTTCTGCCTAGCTAGTTGAGCTAGGAGCTGGGCTGAGAATTTGGACCTAGTTGATTAAAATATTTAAAACAATGATACATCATTATCACTTCTGACTCAGAAATACTGCCCCAGTTAACTTCTGAGTCCCTTTAACTGTTTAGACTTCTTAGTTTACTGTCTGTATAGAATAACCCAGAAAAGAGTGCAATTTGTCTTTATGGAAACTGATACTCACCAGTGTATTGTATAAACTGATGTCTCCCTCTAAGCCGCTCCGTCGGTGTTCAAATTTTACTATAGGCACTTTGGCTGTTGTTATAGGCAAGATGTTTCTTAAACCTGAAGAGGCAAGACTTCAGTACATAAAACATGCCCATAAATATTAAATGTACAAATAAATACCTGTAATCACCATGCAAAACACACTTAAACCACATACCTGGATGCTTCTTAAGGATTTTTGCCAAACCTTCAATAATTTCTTTACAATTTAGTTTCTAGGGAAAAAAAAAAAAGTAGCAAAGTCTGAGCTATTAACTATAGATCCTATCCTAATAAACAAGCTTAATACCAAATACTTTATTTCATGGAGCAAAGCTTTGTCCCCACAAGCAACAGAGTGCACAGTAAGCCACTGGTCACTCTGCACTAATTCCCCATGTGAGCCTTTAATGCTCACTGCAAGTGAGTGTCTGTGCAAGGCAAAAAGCAGAATAAGTGACATCACACCTAACGTGCCCAAAGAGTGCTCCAGTGGGGTGCTGCCGTAGTGTAGGTGGCACACTGTAAATTCACAGCCTACCTACCTGAGTAGGAAGTGAAACATAAACCTGTCTTCATTTTAAGAGTATACGTTGTACATTGTGAAACATTAAAAAAAAAAAAACAACCTCTCACCTCTGCATTTTCATGGCCTTCCAAAGTCATGCAGATATCCAGGTCACTGTCCCGGAATCCAAATCCATTTTTTGAAGAGCCAAATAAGCAAAGTCTAGCCTTGTCTAGCCAAAAGAATAGATAGAAAGTGTCACAGGAGAGTTGTTGATTTTGCTCATTTGTTTAACTTTATTTATTTATTTTTTTTTAATAACTGCTTATTATAGTGACTTGCTTCACTGAGGCAGGAGGCTGGGAATCAATTTTCTGCAATACGCTAAAGGGGCTTTAAAATTAGTTTTTACTGGATACCTCCAAGACTTTCTTTTAGATAAACAGAGGAAGCTAGGACATTACATTAATTTGTACGTGCAGTAGATAAGGAATTAAAACACAAGTGATTTTTTGTTAGCCCAGTGCATTAGAGATTTGCTAATTAAATATTAATTTCGACATGCGCTTAATTGTTTTATTATCGTACAATGCGGCGCTGGCTTTGATTGATCTGTTTTTGAATACACACAAATACTTTTTTTTAAATAGGTCAAACATGCACTTTTCCTGGCCTTGCATGCCCCCTGTGCTGAGGTCAGGATGCCAACTGTTATATCATTTACACCACCGCAGGTCTCCTTCATGCTAGCACCATTACAAAGCAAAAGAAAAAGCGCAGAGGGCTCAAGATCAAGCTTAACTAGCTGCAGGTTTATTTATGGATACACAACAAATAGAGACATTTTAATCTTAAACAGGACAAATAAGTAAGGTGGAGCACAGTGATATTTTCCAGACTACTGGCATTTTAACAGCAAATTGTATATTGTACCTGATATTAATTACATACCATTATATTCCTTTCGAATAAATCTTTCCAAACTTGCCAGAATTTGTTCTCTGTTTTGTTGCTCAGATAAAGGAGGTGATAATTCATCTAGGGGAAAAAACAGGAGAAAAAGTATGACGTAATGTTCTGCTAATTTTTTTACACCAAAATATCATCATTTCACAGACTCAAGTATTTCCTAACACTATTTCTCTATGAATAGTTAGTAAAATGTATTTCTGAACTTTTTTGTATTAGTCAGTGCTGAGAGCATTCTATTTTGGGGCTTGAGCCTGCTGCTATTACTCAGACAAAACCAATCAGAGGGGACTTTTCCTAAAAAGAAACAGCAGAATCAAGCAAACACTGAGGCAACTTTACTGAGCAGAGTGAACGCCTTAAGAACACAAGCCACTTATCTCCAAAACCAGTGAAAAACTCGAGATGAAAGTTCTTCCTCGAACTTATTCTGGGATAAAATTCTAGACTGGAATTTCTACTGAAATCAAACAGCATGACAAGAAAATACAAACACGGGGTAATTTCTATTTTCAAGGATGTGGATGTAACTTAATGTCCTTCTGCTGAAATCAGCAGAGCTATTACCTACGTTTATGGAAACAGAAGTTCGCTCTATAGAAATTACGACTTGTAGCACAATAAAAAAAGTCCCAACTGTCCCAACAGTAACGGAGTACTTACCAAAGCATCTCTTGCACACTAGATCAAGTATTTCCCGAAATCTCTCTGTCATTGGTGGTAGTGGTTTTAGATCAATTTTCTTAAAATCCTCTGGGCAGTCATTTTTGGAATGGCCATCCCGTTTGCAGATGCTGCATACTATAGTTGGAGGCTATTCAATGAAATAAATAAATTAAACTCTTAATTTACAGTATTTCCATACATTCCAATACTATTTCCATACAAGTTTGGTGCAACCAAGAGCATTTGTAGGGTGAGCAAGGACAGTGTTCATACAGAGCACAATACAGGAGCACCCTTTGACATATCACCTTCAGGTCCCAGATGTCGTACCCGTAATGGGTTGAGCAGTATACCTTATTTTGAGATATAGGCAGACAAGGTTCCTTGGGTGAATTTGATATCTTTTATTAGACCAACTCAAATGGTTGGAGAATAGTTATTAAGCAAGCTTTCGGGTTCAAAAACCCTTCGTCAGGCTCAGGAAGCTGCAGCAGTTGGTGAGATAGACACGCAGATCTTTGAAGCAAGTTTTTGTTTATTTAAGGAAGGAAGGAATAACCAGAGTATACTCTCAAAATCCAATACAGCATGCTCAAGCCTTGTTACTTCTTATGCGCAATTTCTAAAGCACCCTTAAAGATGATGCCTGGAGCACATCAGCTAAGCCGTCGGTCGTGCACTACTCGCAAAGCTTCTAGATTATTTGTTCCCCCAGCAGTATGCTTCTATGAGAACCTGAAGATCTGCACACCTTGCTCAAATTTCGGCTCAAATTTATTCGCATCTAAGTGGAATTTAGGACCACATTTGGATTAACTTTTACTGGGATTGGCTAAGCGCTAGAACATTTTGTGGTTAGTGTGGTTTGATTCCGACTTTATTTTGTACCGCATTGTGGTGAGATACCCTTTTCATCTCTGATCTTTTCAGGTTAGGCTCCTGGAGGCAAATCTATATTGTATCTTTTCAGGTTAGGCTCCTGGAGACAAATTTGCAGATTGCAGCTTACTTCTAAGAGGCCTTGGCGTCGCTGAGCTGCTCTTCGTGGTTTGCCAGTACAGGTGTTTCATTGCTTTGACAATGTTGTGAAACCACGCTTCCCTGTTTCGGTGGCTCAGTAGCAACCGTGCAGTCAGAACACTTGGGTTTCTCTTTTGTCATTTTTGTGCTTTGTTTCTGTACTGGCAGCAAAACTGTAGATATGGGTATCACATCCCCTTCTTTTTGTGAATAAATTTGCCAAAATAACTTTTGAACGTCCCACAGGTCCTAAGCAAGTTTAAACATTCACATCATGAATATGAGGGGATTCAGAGGAATATTTTATTTGATTAGGAATAATATTCCTAAAATGGTCAGAATGACTACGGTGAATTTACACTTTAGAGCTCATTACTGCTGTTGGCACAGATGCAACGGTGTTGCTAATTCTGGTAGCATTAGGCGTAGCGGCTGTTTCTAAGCACCATTTACTTTATAGATTAACATAAATCTTATAACTAAGATATGATGAAAAATTAAACGGGAAAGACTAGTAGTTTTACATATGTAACTACAATAAAATATAAATTCTAGACAATACTACATAAAAATATGTAATAATAATACGTTTATAACACTGGTTTAAAACAACAACAACAACAAGCTTAAACTAATAATACACTAGTTCTATAAAATGGTTGATGAATAATTGAAGTTCATTTAGGAATTAAATATTGATGTAATAGGTCTTGAAGCTGAATAATTAGAAAAGTTAAAATAACTAGTAATAATAATAAAAAGGTAGGTGGTGGAGTTGCTCAGTACTTTGGAAGTGGTTATACTGAGATAAGACTGATCGTGAGTATTCATCGTAGCTTGATAACGGTGGTTGACTTTACGGAGACTCGATGATATCTTTGACAATAGGGATACATTTCTCTCAGAAAAGGATAGAGTCCAATTCGAAGTCTAATGTAAACTCCTCCAATCAACAAAATCCAAACCTAATCTCCTGCTGCCCACAGAAGATGTGCAACTCTGCTAGTGATCTTCGCAGAATTATTTAAGTTAGTAACAACAGCATTACGAGTTGCAGCAAATAATGGATAAAATCAGTGGGCAATGTCTACGAAAGCTTGTTGCCATGCAGGAATATAGCGAATTCTTGGTGGATTTGTACGGAATTGATCCGATATTTTAAAATACGGCCATCATCAATCTAAATTTGAAGTTGATTGTTAATTATTTGTATTTTTCTCATAGTATGGCCCATTTAAGTTGACAAGCGATCCAATTGCTGTAACAATATTTGTACAGTAAATTTTTTATAATCATTGAGGTGGACTGTATAATGTGTTTTACATCTCAAAACATATTTATATGGTCCTGAAGAATTTAACAAATATCTGCCATTGATCTGTACACACTTATTTTGTTCACAAACAATTGTTTGATCGTGAAACTGATAAATACCATAGGTCGTTCTGTTTGTAAATTCTATTTGACATGGAATAACTTTGTGAATCACTAATGCTTTATTTAAGAACCATACTGACTTTTTTACACAGTTCTGAAAATGTAATCTATCGTTGTTTTCACACTGCTTGTACTAGTTTTATTTAAGCATACTACAAATACTGGGTTAGTTATTAAAGCAGGTATAAGCTTTTTACACACTGTCATTGTAGGAAGTGCGCATCGCGTGGTAATTACGGATTTTGATTCTTCTATCTGCTCTAATGGCGGACTGCAGAATTCTACCTGTGGTAGTTTTGTTTCACTAAATACATGAGCTAACAAACGCTCTCTGATGGTAAAATTTATAAGGACTTCTGTACATTTATGAGTTAAAAGAAAATTGGATAAGGCTTTTGTAGTAGCATGAGTTAGATTTAAATGATGTAAAGAAACTTTTACTTGTCGAGACACTAAATTTTCTAAATTATCTGTATGAGTTACAATGGCACGTAATAATTTCGTATTTAGTATATTTTGCTGCGACTGGAATTTTTGCTCTAGAGAATGTCTGTTATGAGTTTTATAACAATTAATGGTTAAAGTAATTTTCCATGGTGGATCAATAGTAGCTGGGTAACGTTTTGTAATTTGATATACAGGTTGCGTGGGTCCGATTGGTAATACCGCAAATAGAGGTAATGTGTGTAACTGAGTATAATTATTACGAACAGAGGCGTTTAATTTGTTGAAACATGTAATATTACAGTTGTCTATTGGATCAAGCCAACTGCTGTTTGGTATTAAGAATAAATGTCTTTCTTGTTTAGTAATATAAGCTGGGTTTAATGTGAAAACTTGAATTCCTGATGATGCGTGAAGCCACTTGTTGTTAAATAATAGAACAATTTTCTATTATCTAAGGTGAGCTTCGTTTGGAACTATTCCAATAGGCGTTAATGTCAGGATAACCACACTGAGAAACATTGAGGCTATCTTGGGCAACATCGAAACATCCTACAAATGGGTGTGATATGGTTTTTGAACGTTCCCATGTTTCCATGTCATATAACGGCTGGATAGCACGTAAAAAATAACCTGTTCCATCAGTAAAATTTGTAACTTGTCAATTAACTGGATAAGGTGAACGCTAACAAGATACTAACTTATTGAGACTAAAATTAAACCATGGACAACCGTTTTCATCAGTGTTATTATCTAAGTTGAGCAAATTTCGGGTCCAGTTCCAATATTGAAATGACCACATACCACCTGTCATTTTTAAGAGGGAAACTTGTTTTTTTTTATAAAATAGCCTGGACAGGCATATAGATTTCAGGGAAGTGTTAAACCTTTTCCAGTAATGTTTTGTAAATTGCAAGTACTGTTAATCATTAATTTGGTCCAGTTTTCTTTATTTGACAAATATACATTTTGTAATTTAGACATATTATAGGCTTTTACTTGCCCTTTATCGCAATTACAATAAACCCAGATTTCGCACTCATAGATTGTACTACAATTATCTACCCATTTTGATCTTCTATTAGAGTGTGTTTGGTTAAGTAGCACTAATGGTGTCTCATAGGAATGGATGTAAATGGTTGCATTGAAATCACAGGTAGGTGATGAGTTTTCTTGGGTGACGCTAATTAAAATGAATCTGAAAAATATAAAAGGAAGACTCGCTTCTCATTACTTTTGACTACAACACCATGAAATTGGAACTGTATATTTTCGCCCATCATGAAATTTTATTTTCACCGTACTGGGATTCAACAGGACCTGAACCGTAGCAGGTTTAGGTTCTGGACTGTTAGGCTATTTAACTAGGACAGGGTCGCCTGTTTTCCATTTTGGTTATTTGATTGCTTTTAAGTTTTGTTTTGGCGTGTCCCCTCGGTTATTTATTGACTGCATTATTTGGGGTACCCAAATTTGCCAATTAGTAAATTTTCCTTGATTCAGTAATTTAATTTGAGCTTTAATTATTCCATTTGTTCATTCAATCACTCTAGCTGATTGAGGATGATAGGGGATATGAAATTTCCATTGTGCTTTTGGGCATTGTTCTGCTACCCAAGTTTGTATTTTATTGGATGTGAATGCTGAACTATTGTCTGACTGGATTTCTTTAGGGTTTTTTCAATATCTACATACTGTTTGGATACCTATCTTTGTAGCGGCTGTAGTTAACTTATTCTGGGGAACTATTGTAATTTTCCTTGTTCCTAAATTTACCACGGTAAGGGTATAATGATACCTTTTGCAGCCTTCTAAAGGTCTGATATGATCTATTTGTCATACTTTATTAGCTTGAAAATTTTGTGGGTTATAAACTTCTAACTGCTGCTGTTTATGACTAGGGATAAACTTGTATTTGCTGCACTTCTCACATTTTAATACTAATTTTTCTATCTGTTGTCTAGTAACTAAGATATTATTGTCTACAGCTATTTGGTATAGTGCTTTGCTACTGACATGGCCAAGAGCAGTATGCCACTGTATTATCTCTATTTCTTCTTTTGAATCATCTGGGTGTATTTCTGCTCCCCAAGCGGTAGCTTGTTGATCTGCTCGTTGATGTCCTTTAGGTGTATCCTTCTGATGAGCAGATACATGTTTGATATGTATTGGACTTCTTAATTTGGTAACTATCGCCATGATGTCTTTCCAGATTTCTGAAAGAGCTCTATTTCCTTTTTCTAGCAA